AGCCCCATTTTTTGAAAATAATGCATTTTGAAATGTAGTTTGATGGAGAATGCGTGGTTAAAAAATAATGAAAAGTTTTGAGTTTGCGTTTAATATTATTTCATTGAAAAATGCGTGATTGAAAATTAAAAAGAAAAATATATTTTGAAAATAATAAAAAATGACAAATGGACCTTTGATATGTATATGCCACATAGTATGTTAAAAATCCTAATTACCCTTTTACTTGACATGTTCAAAATATTTCCACTTAATTCTATCATTAGAGCTCTAAATCCCCAGTTTTCATCCATTATGAGCCCTAATTTCTTCTTTTTTTTCTTCGTCAAGATTGATACTTTGAAAATTCAAACTTGAAATAAAGTATTCAAAAAAAAAAAAAAAAATGTGCGCCGCCTTCATTGACTTTAACGTTAAAGAAACGACTATGTTCCCTACTTTTTATGTTTTCAATTTTACCCTTGATCAGGAAGTTCAAATGATCAAAAATGCCCTGAAAATCAATTCAAGAAGTTGTATTTCAACATTTTTCTGAATAGAACTGTCATTTTTGTAATTATATTTTCTTTACTTTTCATTTTTTCATTGTTTTCTGAAAACTTTTGCTTTTATTTGCTGAAAATCATTTTGGTGAGCAAAATAAGCAATGTAAGAAGAAATGTTGTAATTTATAAAACTGCAAAAAATATGTGCTTCAAAAAGTATTTCATATGTAGAGTTGTACGATAAAATTTAAGAAGTGCTTAATGTTGATCTATTTTATATGAAACGGAGTTTAAATTTCTCGTCCTCGATATGACAAAGTTGCCATTCCGTCATAAATTTCTCGTCCTCGATCGACATGACGTGCAAACTGCACTGGAAATGGAAAATGACAATCGTCAAAACAACTTAATAGACGTTGCGAATAATGAAGATGATAAAGATCTGTGCAATGTGGAAACTGGCAGTGAAGAAGACAAAGGTCAGTGCAATATACAATTTGATGCACCTGATGGCGATGATATACAATTGTTCTCTTTTAATCAAAATTGTAAAAACGACAACATTTGCAATAATTTTGCAAGTGTTGATTATTGGGATGGGGTGAAAATTATGTACAACTACCTAGAAGATGATATTCAGGTGATTAATGACTTTATTTTGTCAAGGTACAAATTTTACATTGGTAGACGAGAACATTAATGCTTCACAGGTTGTTGGTAATTCAATGATTCTTGCCGATCATATGCACGTTAA